ATAGCATGTAATGTCTCCATTGGATGTTGATGTTTCTTTTTCTTTATTCTTTGAGAACTTCTTTCTTCTTGTATAACTAGAGTTTCTAATATTATTTTTTGCACCAAAATATTTTTCTAGTCTTTTTACAAGAAGCATAAAATTTCCGTCCTCTTCAGGATTGTCTTATTTCTCCACTTCTTTGGATTCAACTTTTAAGGCAATGCTCTTGGATTTCTTCTCTTGAATTTCATGTTTCTCCAATCGTCCAAGTTCCGTCTCATATTCTTAGACCTTTCTGAATAACGTAGTGGATGTCATTGTTGATAGACTTTTATTTTCGGAAATTGTCGTCACTTTGGGTTGTCATTCTCTTGATAAGGACCTAAGCACTTTAAGATTAAGTTCATCATTTGTTAGTATATTACCAAGTGCATTCAAGTGATTTGTCAAATGCACGAATCTTTTCTGCAAGTCTAGGATAGATTCTCCTGGTTGCATTCTAAATAGTTCGTACTCCTGAATCAATGTATTTAATCTGGATCATTTGACTTCGGCGGTTCCTTCGTGAGTTTCAACAAGAGTGCCCCATATTTTCTTAGTCGTTGTACATGTTGAGATACAGAAGAATTCATCCATTCCAAGTGCACTTTGTAAAATATTTATCTCCTTTTTGTCATATAGAACTTTCTTCTTATCATCATCATCCCATGATCCTTGCGGTTTTGATGAACCAACTCCGTTGACCACCGTTGTAGGAACAAAAGGACCATTCTGAACAGTCTCTCATGTTTCACTTCCTTGTACTTCTAGATGTGCCTTCATGCGGATCTTCTAGAAGTCGAAATATTCGCCACAAAACAACGGAGGCTTATTGCTACTACCACCGTCCTTGAATACAAGATTGTTATTTGCGGAAGCCATTTGGATCGAATAGGAACAAGTTACCTATAACCTGCTCTGATGCCAATTGTAACTTGTAAATGCGCCTAAGAGGGGGGGTGAATTAGGTTCTGAAAAATATTTGCAAACTTTTTTCGGTTCTTGGTTCTTTTTCCGATTATGATGATAGTGACTTGAAAGTAAACAGCAGGAAAGAAAAAGAGACACAAGAAATTTATAGTGGTTTCCCTCACACTGCGAGAGTACTCCACTCCCCTTTTGACTCGAAAGAGATTTCACTATAGTTTAGAATTATTGCATAGCCTAATCACACCAATGGTGATGCCTACTATCTAATCTATAGGTAATCCAAGTATAGAAGAACAATCCTCTTCAAACACTTCACTTGTTTCCAACAATCCTGGATAACAAGGTAATACACAATTATCTTTGAAATAAGTTGAAATCTTTGAGAGAATGATATTATCAATCTTTACGATCGATCTTCTTCTTGAAACAAATATTACTCAAATAAGTATACTAGTGTTCTTGTGAGAGAATTTGAAATGAAGTTGTGATAGTGTGAAAGTTTATTCAAAGGCTTCTTTCAAAAATGTTTTTGAACACTTAAAAATTAAAATTTGAAGGATGAAGAGAATGAGTAATTTGAATGATTTTGTTTCTTGAAGGTGTATTGAAATTTTGAAATTGATAACAATTTATATTGATCAAAATACCTTTTCAAAAGGGTGTGATTTTGTGCAGCAAAAACAGTCAGAAATCAAAATTGAGACCAATGCATATTTTCATGAAAAGCTGTCATTTTTTCTTGTTGTTTCAGTGTTAATCGGTTAACCAAATGTGTTAATCGGTTAACACCTTACAATGTTTAAAAATATTCAAAATTTACACATGTTAATCGGTTAACCCTATGTGTTAATCGGTTAACACTGCAACAAATTCACAAATGAGTTAATTTTAAGGGACGTTAACGGTTAACCAAAAGGGTTAATCGGTTAACACTGAAAGATTTTCAGAAAATAATTATTTTTAACAAGAGTGAGTAACTTAAAATGATTTTAAAAGAGTTTGTGGTATATGCGAAGTGAAATGTGAATTTATGAACACTTGTATAGATATTTTCGAGTAATATTTGTTATACCTTTGACTTGATGTTCAAGACTCAATCTTCATTACTTGAAACTTGTAAGAGAAACTTTGATCCATAGAAGACATATGCAAGATCACTATCTTGATGCTTGATGTCTTTGTTGTTTACTTGATTCTCTTACTTTTTGCGTAGTATAAGTTGCGTAGAAAGCTTGTTCTTGTTGTCCTCATCAAAACATTTAAATGTGCTTGAAACTTGCTTCTACAGTGGTTTGTCTGACAGCAGATCATGTCCGACAGGGAGGAGGATTGGGTCTTGTTGGGCCTCCCCGGTGTGATATTGGGTTGGGCATGCCCGACTGTGGGGCATGTACTGCCCCAGTCCAGAACAATTTTTTTTCTTACAATTTAACTTATGTTAAGTAATGTTTTCATCGTTGACCTTTTTCACAAACTCCATTCCAAAAATGTTTATGTGTCACAAACGGAAATGGTGTGTCATTTAACAATGACTATGTGTCATTTTATTTTATTTTTTAATTAGACGTAGATTTTAAATTTTTTAAAAACTTTTTTATTTTTGTTTTATATTTTTAAAATTTTTAATTTTAATTTTTGTTTATTATTATTTTTCGTATTTTTTAAATATTTTTTATTTGTTTTTAATATAATTAAATTTTGATTTTTATTATTTTTAATGGTTAGTTTAGAATTCATGAAGTAAATAATTAAATTATCAAAACCAAAGAATTGCCGATTTTAAGAATATAAATTACATTTATATTGTCATAAATATCCCTGCTAAGTATATATATACTTAGTATTTGTTATTTTTTAGTTTTTATCCGTTAATTTTTTTTCGTAAAAGTATTTACACTTAGTTAAATATTTAAGAAACATAAACAGTAAATGTAAATTAATAACAAGAAAGAATAAATCATTTTAGAAAATTTTAATGTTTGGTTGTTCCATTTTTAAAAATCTCATGATATATGAATTAATATATTAAACAATTAACCATTCATCCTCTAAATCTGTGAGAGTAATGGAAAGAAAACACAAACAATAACAATAATAATAATAATAATAATAATAATAATAATAATAATAATAATAATAATAATAATAATAATAATAATAATAATAATAATAATAATAATAATAATAATAATAATAATAATAATAATTAGTGATAATAATGATAATTAATAAATAATAATAATATTAATAGTAATCTATAACACATATAAAGGTAAAACATAGTGTTTTGGTGTAGCCTATTTTTCTATCAATTTTACCCTTACTTTACACAATAACTTCTATTAAAATTACTACTACCATCTTTTACATAACTTCTCACTATTAACTTTCTATCTAACTTTTATTATTAACTTCTTTTCTTTAAAAATTAATATTATAAAAAAAATATCATTTAAATTTTTACGTATAATTATAATAATAGTAATTATAATAATAATAAAGGAGTATTTTTTTTTTAAATGTAGTTAAATTTCATACTGTTTTATATGGCTTGTATAGAGAAGTTGTTCAACTAGTTTAATTGGATAGCTCTGTGTGGATTTAATTATGATAATATAACCAGTGTTTGGACTAGTGTGAAGTTGCAAGTATCAAAGAAGATTGGATGCTTTGGATCTAAATAAATTTGTTGTGTTGATTTCACTGTTTAAATATTCCTGCTGCCACAATATAACTAAACATTGATCACATTCTTGAGGTCAAGGGTTTGATCCCTTTGTTTCTAAAAGTATTTTGTTTTTCTAAATTTAAACAATTAATTTTTTGAATTTTCTAAAAAGTGATATATAATTAAAAATTAATAAAAATGATTTGGAATTAAATATTGTATGACAGTGACAAAGTGGACTATCATGTTACAAAAATTTATTCTTAAATTAGAAGGGATCTAAACTAAAAAAATAATAATAATAAAAGGACAAAACTACAATTAAACCTTAAGTTTAAATATAAAGTTCTTAGAGATTGGGAGAATATAGTCATGATGGCACAAACAAGGGGGAATGGGAGAATGGAATAAGGTTACGGCACGAAGTCGAAAAGCAAAATGAACAGATACACAAGGACAAGATGAGTTGATGGGAGCTGCACGTCCGAGATGTATCAGGGGTGAGAGATATGCACGTTTTGGAAAAAAGATTGAGTTCAACAACTATGAACTCAAAACAGATGCAGATGTAAGAGTTATGTGAAATACATTTTTCCGTTTCGTAATAAAAGTTATGTTCAAATTGGAAGCGACGATTTTAATATAAGTCAAAGATATTGTGAAGATATTGAAACGTCCATCTAAATATTGAAACCTAATATTTCATTTTAGGTTAACATCACCTATATTATATTATGAATGATAAGCTTATTTTATTAAAATACAACTTTCTGATTTTTTGTTTATGTTGCACTATTAATGACATCAAGAAGCTAACATCATGTTTATCGAGTTGATTCATAATTGACATTTGAGAAAAATATGTAATTTTTCTTCAGAATGAAAACAGCCATGTTTATCGAGTTGATTCAACCATCAAAGCATCACAAATGATTTTAACATAACCTTCCTTATGCCACTCTAGCCATGCAATCTTTTGAGTTAATAGACAGCCCTGCTCAAATTTAAAATCTGAATAGCAGTATTAGTGTGCTGCATCACCAGTGAGTGGATCAAACACAGCACCTCCATTGATCTGGCTAGAAGATTTAGCTTCAAGCCTCCATATACACACACTTGTAGTTTTTAGTCATCTGCACACAGAAAATTGGTATATTGCAAGATTTGGATTGCTTGCAGTAAGACGCATTCACATAGACAATGAATCTGGACCTTAGATTCATCCACAGCAAGAAACAATCCCCTACCACTTCCCGGCTATCTAGAGGTACAAGTAAAAGCCGCGGATAAATTTAATTTTTGTACTGGTAGCATTGAGAACCATGATTGTCTCATCAATCTGAGTGGTATCTATAGGTTGAGTAGTGAAGACACGACGACGTTAAAACCAATCAACATGCTGGGTTGAATATTTGGTTTTCTTCTTTGGCTTTTGGTATCGGTTATTCTCAAACTTAGCTTTGGTTATAAGTGAATAGAGCATTTCTGCCTCAGCTGATGTATCATAGGGTACATCCAGTATGCTGCAACACATAAACCAAAAGGGAATAAGAAATCAAACAGAATCAACTTATTAAAATTCAAAAACATTGAATGATTCAAAAAGGTAATAATAATACCTGTGAAGTAACTCCTCCAAAAGAATTCTCTGTGATGGGGTTACATAGTGAATGCAACTTCTAGGGCATTGTCCAACAGCACACTGAACTTGGTAATCTTCCCCTTGATCTATGAACAGTGGTTGGTATTCATAGATAAATCATTAAAAGAATGTCAATTGCGTAATACATGCACTATTCTACATTATGTCATTCTTAATCAATGACTTTTTCAAAATGAAGAAAGTGAACAACAGATAAGAGAAATTAACCTTGGGAAATCGCACGTGCTGTTCCAGTAGAAGGGACAAATGTGAAAGCATGAGGTGCTCTTTCAACACAGGAATTTGAACAAGCTGCACATAATTTTAACTCCACAATGTAATGGAAAAATAAAAGCATAGAAATTTTTCTTAAATTATTAAGAGCTCCACGTGTCACTGTTAATGTCCTGTTGTGTCCGGTGTCTGTGTATGTGTTGGTGCATCATGATATGTACAATTACCTTTTCCAACACACAGAAGCTCGTTAACAAAAACATCAAAAGCTTCACACTCTGGTCTATCAAAGGGATCTAAGCACTCCCTGTAAAGTCAGCAAACATTGTAAGAGAATGAATGCCTACAGTAAACTTCAAAATAACGAGGAGTTGAAAGACAACAGATAATTTACGTTTCAATAATTTGTGATGGTGTGTAGTTGGATAGTATCTGCAATGAAAAAAAGTATGACAGTGAAAAGTTAATTAACCAATTACTAGTTACTAGGCTAAACATGTTGTGTGGTAGTGAATAGAAAAAGTAAAACAAAAACAATGAGATTTAGTTAAAGAAGAAAGTAGTACCTGGTATGCTTGAATTACACGGCGAATCATAACATCCGATGTTTCGTTTTCATCTCTGTTGAGGTCTGGGTGAAACTGCTTCACCTGTAATAAAATAAACAGAAAAAAAAAAACTTGAATTGAATGAATGAAAATGGTGAATAAACAAACCTTGATGATTGATGTTTGGTACTTTGGCTCGAAAAGCAGCTTTAATTTCAGCGGCGGAGCAGTTGGGTTGGACTCCCAGAACAGCGTAAGCAGAGAAAGTGGACAGAGGATCATCATCTCTCCCTCTGCAACTGCAATTGTAGCTCGTTCTTCTCTTATTATTTTTAGACACAGACAAAGGAAAAGTGTGGTTTACAAACGCAGTGGTTGTTGTTGTTGTTGTTGTTAAGTTGAAGCTACACGACCACCTTGATTCCATTCTGGCAGCTATTGTCATCGGAGTGGCCAAACCAGCTGTTTCCATAGGAGGGGTGAAGTGAAGCATTTTCTGGATGACAGAGTGCCACTTGTGTGTGTTGTGCTCTCTGCTTCAATTATATAGGATTTCTTTTTCAAAAATAATTATTATTATTTCAAAATATAGGAACTTTTTATATATATTATATATTTAAAATTTATTAAAAGTTATGGGCACCATTAATTATTTTTTACCATAGTACTTCTATTTAATTCACATTTTTTTTATCAAACAAATAATAAACTAAGTAATTTATAAACACAAACTCTTCCTTGAAAAGACAATTTTGTCAATGAATCCAAGGGTAGTTTGGATAAACATCAATGGGATTCTCAATTCTCTTTGAAAATGATTAGTCAGAATAAATGCAGTCACTACTCCTCTTTATCTTGTTCCAAGTAAAAGAGAATACACTTTTTTTCAGGGACATAGCCTTCATCTTTAAGCTGTTTCAGCAAACCAGACAAAACCCAGAATATAACATCACTCTGCGGATGCAATTTATCCCCTACTACAAAACTATTGACTCTCTTTTCAATCTCAATCCAACTTATACCTACTTCTTTTGCTACTCCCATCTCTTTCATTCTCTTAATGGAACTTGCTCTCTCTTTCCAATTCCCTTCAACAGAATATATGTTTGCCATCAACACATGAGGAGCTGCGCTATCTGGTGCAGCTGAAAACAGTTTATCAGCAGCATATTTACCCACCTCTGAATCACCATGTATGCTACAGGCACCAAGCAATGCTTGCCAAACTAGCACGCCACCATGCTCAGGCAATCCCTCAATGAATTTCCTAGCTTCATTAAGATGTCCCGCTCTCCCCAACATGTCGACGATGCAAGCATAATGTTCTGACCTAGGGATTATGTTGTGATCTCTAGTCATAGATTGCAAAAGCTCCATACCCTTCTCAACTAACCCTGCATGACTACAAGCATGAAGCAATGACAAAAATGTAACATCTGTTGGTGCTGTACCCTCCACTCTCATCTCTTCGTAAAATTGAAGTGCTTTGAGACCATCTCCGTGGCGAGCAAAAGCAGCAATTACCGAGTTCCATGAAATCGAATTCTTTTGAGTCATCTGATGGAACACCCGGAGGGAGTCAGACAAATCTCCACATTTAGAGTACATGTTTACAAGTCCATTACCCACAAAAGGATTCTGACTGAAATTCTTTTTTATGATTAAAGAGTGAATCTGTTTTCCAAGAGCCAAAGAAGTACCAACACCAAATACCCCAAGAACAGCAGAAACCATGTTAGGGTCAACTTCAATCCCCAGCGTCACCATTTTCGTAAATATCTGGATAGCTTCCTCCTCAAATCCATTTTGAGCAAAAGCTACAAGTATTACAGTCAAGGAGACTCCATCCAGCTCCTCAGCAGACTCAAATATCCGCCATGCTTCCTCTAAACTACCACACTTCGAATACAAATCCATCAAAGCACTTTCAATACATAAATCCGACTGCATTCCCAATTTCCATAACAAGCCATGAATTTTCTGGCCCTCCCTTAATGCTTGCAAACCCGAACAAGCCATGAGCAAGCTCAAATAAGTCAAAACATTAGGACTCACAGACCCACAACACATTTGAGCAAACAACCTCAAACTATCCTCATAAAACTCATTTTGCGCGAGGCCAGAAATCACAGCCGTCCAAGTCACAACATTCCTCTCAATCATCTCGTCAAAAACCTTCCTTCCTTGACTAAAACAACCACATTTAAAATACGACGTTATAAGAGCATTCCCCACTGTAATTTCCCTCTCAAAACCACCAACAAACACCAAACCCTGGATCATTTGGGTTGCACTAGAGAACCCTAATCCTAACCCTGTTCCCAATCTCAAACCATCACAAGCTGACAACATTGTTGTCAAAGTAGCTTTATCAAATGGACAACAAAGTCTACTAGACTCACTCATTTGCTTAAAAAACTTAAAAGCAGAGTCAACATCATCATTCCTTAAAAACCCGGAAATCATTGTATTCCACGAAACGGTATCTCTGACAGGCATATGATCAAACACCTTAACAGCATTACAGAAGTGACCACATTTGGAATACATGGATAGGAGAGAGTTCCAAACAAAAAGGGCATTGCGTTGGGAGCCATCAACATAGAAAAATGGGGGTTGTTTGATGATTCGGGCATGGATGGAAGAACCAAGAGAGAGGTTTCTGTGTCTGGCGCAAAGGGAAAGAATAGAAGTTAAGTCTGCGTTTGAGGTAGAAGGAAATGAGTATAGGGAAGTGGGTGGGTTTGAAAAGAAGGGTAGGGTGAGAGAATGGAGCCATGAAGGGGGATTGGTGTTGAATTTCCATCTGGGTTTCATCCATGAAATGAAAAGGTGAATACAGAGAGAGGTTGGCGTTGAGCAAACAGAGAAAAACTTAGATGAAGCAATTTTAAAATAATATAAAGGATTAAAGTGTTATAAAAAATATTAAATGATATTTTAAAATAATTTAAAAGATTAAAATAATATTTTTGTATTTTTTTAGCTTGTATGCTTGTACCATATTATAAAATTGGATAAATAATTGTGGTATTGAGGATTTAGTATTCTTAAAAAAATCCAAATGACTCAAGTACAATCATTAATGAAAGGAAAAAAAAAAGTTATTATAGGTAATGAAATATCCCCAAACATCAAAATAAATAATATTAAATTGTTTGACACTTTTATCAAAACTGAAAAGAAAAGAAACATGATTGTGATTCTCTAACTAACTATCATCGCAGTTAAGATACTCAATAAACTGTTGTAATAACAAAGATGGAAACATGAACTTAACAGAAATGATATAGTTACACCCTATTTAACATATACACCGTATATATATACTATACATTATACTTTTTTCATTTTTTATTATATTTTGATGCATTGAGATTTGTGCTACACTTGTAATGAATGTTATTTTGCTACGGTGTAAATGATAGGTGTACAAATATGGTGTCAACATAGCAAATCACTGAACTTAATTATAGAAAATAGAGGATGCATATAAAATTTGTGAGACAAAATAGGAAGACGCGAGCTCCTCGCATAAGGACAATACCTTTAAACCATTTGTTTCATCATAGATGTGGTATGCCCATTTCTTAACTTTAATAATTTCAATCGTCCTCACGTGTGACAAGGTCCTAAATAATACAATGAGAAGTAAAAAAAAAAAAAAAAGGTTATTTTACAATTTTGATCGGAGTAAGCTTATGAATTGAAATTGAATTGTTAGAAAATGTAAGAACATGAAACATAAATTGTAACTTAAATGAAAGTTCTGATTCAATTTTTAGTGTCAAAAACACGAGTATGAAAGTCCTTGACAAAAATAATATAAGAAATACTCAAAGGTGAAGTATAATAGGATAATAATGTGGAATCAAATGACATATGATTAGTAGTATCAAAGTCAAGAATCAGAACATTAATGGGAAAATATCACAGATAGTAAAAGATCAAAAGCACAATCTTACCAGTAACTGTTGGAAGTAAGCCACGATTATTAACTTATTTTGTTGTATATACAACAAAAAAGAATGTGTTTGAAATTTTCTGACACAAGCAATACATGATGTAGCATATGATGTTCCACCATCAGGGTACAGTATCATGACAGGTGTTGTAACATTTGCAGACTGACATAACAATTTATCCAACCATTGAAATTGTGCAGAATTTTAAATGCAGAAAGATAAATAACACAATGAATTGTTAACCCAGTTTAGTGCAACATCACCTACATCTGGGGGCTACCAAGTCAGGAAGGAAATCCACTATCAACAGTAATAATTCAGAGTTAAACTCCCCCGTTTATAACCCCACTTAATCCCTGTCCAGTGCAACTTCTACCTAGGAACTCCTAGATATGAGAAATCACCATCTCACTCCCAATCACCACAGTGATAAACAAACAATCCCAGTCCCAAGGTATGCCACAAGAAACCAAAAAGAAAGATGTACTTTCTTTCTTTCAAGAGCAACAATAGGTCAAGACTCTTAACCAAGAACAATACTCGGTTTTGCTTAAAAGCTTCAACCAAGAACAATACTCAACTCATATGCTTAAAAACTTCAGAGTGAGAATAATATACAACCTAAATATGTCTACCACGATGCATCAAAAGATACAAAGGGTGACTTACAAATTCACAACACCAGAGACTCTTAAAACCTAAATTTCTAAACCATTCCCCTAGTTTTTACAATAGTGAACAACAGTCCTTACATTAGGTTATAATTTCCTTTTAGATACATCTCTACAATCTATGGACTTTGAAATTTGCGTCCAAAAGTTTCTTGATCCACAAGCTGAGTGATGCACCAAAATCTCCTTAAATCTTGGAACAGAAGATACAAAGTTTCCTAAATCGTCTCAAGGCCCAATTTAGTAACATCTGCATCGTTGGAGATATAAAACCTGTTCCAGATACAATCTTCTTGACTTGTAAAATATGTGAGATAATTTCAAAAGGAATCTTCACAAAATCATAGCCATTTCTTGTCAAGAATTAAAACAGCTAGAACAGATGTTATGGTATAATATGTTCCAACATCTGTTAGGACATCTGCTCTCAAGGTGAGCTGAACAGCATGTTACAACATCATACACAATATCCTGCTGTGTATCATGTTTTAGCAAAATTGTTGTCAATCCTAAAACCATGGAACTTACAGTGTTTAATAAATAATCGAATGAAAACTAGTTGTAAAAAAATACCTAAAAAGGAGGTATATCAAAATTCAAATTTAAGCACGTAAATAGGAACATGAGGGAGTTATGAGCAAATTGACGCTTGTATTGCCACAAGAGAAATTCGGCAAGGGAATGCATGTGGAACACACTTGGGTGACGATAATGAGAGTGTACCTCATGTGTTAAGATAAAAGTTGTGTGTCTATCCGCATGTGGTGGTTTTTTGGGTTGCTTTTATAGGTTTTGGCCTATCTAGGGGTGGTAACCACAATAATGTGATCTTTGGAGAGAGAGAAAGAGAAATCTTT